GCCTCAGTCCCCCGGAGAGGGCAATGGGTTGCACCTCTCTGCCTCCCACTGTGCTGTCTCCAGCCTCCACCGTGAGGAACGTATCTTAAAGTGGACACAGAGCTCCCTGGGAAGGAGCCGCTCTGTGGGCCAGCCCCACACTCCAAAACCCACCTTTCACCCGGACAAATGCTTTATGAACCATTTGTCAGTATTGATCACGCAGGCGTCCTTGAAAATGTGGGTTAAAATCACCTAGGAGGGACCCTTGCTGGTGCAGGGGTTAAAGTCTCAGCCTGTCAAGCTACCCGCAGACATGGCCGCTTGAGCTCCATCCGCGGCCAGAGAGGGGCCCAGGGCCGGCAGACCCCTCCTGTCTCCCCACCGCTCCCTCAGCAGTGCGCTTCCTCAGTCGGCCTGTTGTGCTCCCCACTCTGTCCCTGGGGGATCCTCTCACCCCACACCTCTCTGGCCTGCACCCCAGCGCTTAGTGCATAAATAAAAAATAAATACTTTTTAAAAATAAACAACAATGTATGGACACGAATCGTGAAGTCGAATCAGGCTCCGCGCTTGAGCACAGGCCTCAGACCGCAGGCAGAGCCGGCAGGCAGGGCGTGGGCCTTCCTCGCCGGGCTGAGCTTGAAGCCGGGTCTGTGCTCGGCCGGCGCCCACCTTCCTGCAGCCTGGTCCAGAGGCCGCAGGGCCGAGATAAAAAGTAATCATCAGCGTCACGGGCCCTTGCACCGGGGAGCGGCCAGCCGAGGGCCGGACCCCCAGCCTGCCCCAGTCCCGCTGCACGGGGCGGTGCTGTGTCGCGACGCCAAGCCGCGAGTCCCTGGGGCCGGTCAGCACAGGGCCTGTCCTTGCAGAAACGCCGTCGTTCCTGCGGCCGCTGCTGGACCGGACGGTCACCAAGGGCGAGACGGCCGTGCTGCAGTGCATCGCGGGGGGCAGCCCCCCGCCCCGGCTCGACTGGACCAAGGACGACAGCCCCCTGCTGCTCACCGAGCGCCACTTCTTCGCGGCGGGCAACCAGCTGCTCATCATCGTGGACTCGGACGTGAGCGACGCGGGCAGGTACACCTGCCAGATGTCCAACGCGCTGGGCACCGAGCGCGGCCACGTGCGCCTCAACGTCATCCCCACGCCCACCTGCGACGCCCCGCCCCTGACGGCCGCCGCGCTGCCGGACGACGGCTGGGCCACCGTGGGCGTGGTCATCATCGCCGTGGTCTGCTGCGTGGTGGGCACCTCGCTCGTGTGGGTGGTCATCATCTACCACACGCGGCGGCGGAACGAGGACTGCAGCATCACTAACACGGGTGGGTCCGCGCGGGGCGCCGCAGCCGCTCGGTCCGGCCCCCCGAGTGTGGGTGTCGCGGGGGAGGGGGGCGCGGCGGCTCCTCGCTGCCAGCGGCAGGCGCGAGCTTCCCAGAAGTAGCCCGGGGCCTTCCTCGGGCGCAGGGGTCAGTCTCAGCACCAGGAAGCTGTCCGCGGTCACCCGGCGGGAGTTGGATCCCCGCCCGGGAGGGACCCCAGGGCGCAGCAGACCGCCCCACCCCCGTCCCTGGGGAGTCCTCCTCCCCCCAACTCTGACCTGCACCCCAGTCCTTATTGCATAAGTAAGTAAAAATAAACCTTTAGGGCCCAATTTAAAGCTGGCATTTGGGAATGAACCGTCCTGATGAAACCTCATCAGAGCAGACCACCCGCGCTGTGACCCGCAGGGCAGGTCCATGCTCTTCCCGGTGGGTGCCGACACCCTCGGGGGCCACACTGCCCACTGCCTCCTGCTGGGGCCGAGCCGGCCTGGGGCGTCCCGGCCGAGGGGCAGAGGCCCGGCCGTGCGTGGAGTCCGTCCTCTGCCCCACCAGCGGCCGGAGCCAGCAGGAGCCCTCGGCCGGTGGCGCGGAGCTCAGCCCCTGCGCCAGTGGGTGACAGCGCTCTAAGCTCTGCCGCGGGTGGACGTGGGGAGTCTCGGAGGCGCCAAGAAGGACCAGTGAGCCCTGCCCGCCCGGCAGCGCCCTGCCTCCTCACCCCGTGCCAGGCCGGGGTGGCTTTGTGGGTTCAGGGCTTTCGCGCAGAGTCGGAGCGGCGGGTGGCGGTCATCGGCCACCGGGTCGTTCCGTCACGCGCGGGCCATAAAGTGCCGTCGTTTGGTTACAGACGAGACCAACTTGCCCGCGGATATCCCCAGCTACCTGTCGTCCCAGGGGACGCTGGCGGACAGACAGGATGGATACGTGTCCTCGGAGACGGGCAGCCACCATCAGTTTGTCGCCTCTTCCGGCGCCGGCTTTTTCCTGTCGCCGCATGACAGCAGTGGTGAGTGTTTCGGCCAGAGGGAGCTGTGGTTTGTGAGTCGTTTGTGGGAGGCGTGAACAGAGGCCACGTGAACAGAGGCCACGTGAACAGAGGCCACGCGGAGGCTGCTTGCTGGAAGTTGGTGCGCTGCTGTGTCGGGGCCTGGCCTCGGAGCGCGCGGGCAAACACTAGGAAAGTCTTAGTTTCTGACCGTAGACGATCACGATCGACTAAGCAAAACGTAACTCCTCTGTGCGACGCGTGGCCGTGATGCCCACGGCCCTGAATGTCCCTAAGTGGCGCTAGCTGCTTTTGTGCTGGTGGGGAGTCAGCCTGTGGGCGCCCCCTGCCTCTGCCCCTGCGCCGGGGGTGATGTCGGCGAGGCCGAGCCCGCGGGCACCCTGCTGGGGAGGGACCGGGCTCCCCGCTGGTCTTACAAAATGGAGTGAACGCGCACGGACACCCCCGAGGCGCCGCGTCCTCAGGGCTCAGCGAGGAAGCTGTGGGCATTGTTTCCAGGCATGGAGCCGCTCGGGCCGAAGCTACTTGAGCCGCGAGCCGGGGCTCCGGCGGAGGAGGGAGGCGTGCTGGCGGTTGTGGGCATACTCAGCCGGGACAGCGCCGAGGCGCTGGCTCGCACCCCGCGGGGCTGTGCTGAGGGACCAGGGCGGAGGCGCCCGAGCTGAGGTCCGTGTCCTGGGGCTGCGGGGGGTGGCAAAGAGCCGCGGCCCAGCCCCTTCTGGAAGGCCGTCTCACAGCCCCAAAGGGACACAGCTGGGCAGGCCGCGCCCGGGCTCAGGCCACCGCCGCCTCGGTGGCGCGACCCACGCACAGGTCAGGGACCTGGGAAGCAGGGGGGCGAGCCCCCCGCCGGCCAGTCGAGTTCTCATTTCGGAAGGCGTCACCCACCGGCAGGTGCCACGGGCCACGGAGCAGCAAACATTTTAAAACCCCCTGTGTGTATTTTCAAGTTTGTCCTTTTATGTAATAGTCTAAAAAAAGTTTGTTTATGCATGTAGAATTGGGGTGCAGGTCAGAGGCGCAGGGGCAGTGAGAGGATTCACCGGAGACAGAGTGGGGAGCAGGACAGGCAGATGGATGAGGTACACTGCTGAGGGGGCAGCGGCGGTCAGGAGAGGTCTGCCGCGCCCTGTGGTCATCCCCGCGCGGGGATCGAACGCGCACTGAGGCGGCAGCGGCCCCCAGCGCTGCGTCCTCACCCGTTGCCCACAGGGAGAGCGCCCGTGTGATCGTCTACACTCTGAGCTGTTAACGGGGAAGCCGGGCGAGAGTGGCGGCCCGCGGAGGGAGCCGCTCAGGCCGCGCTGTTTTCCAGGGCCCTGCGCGCCGGACACCGGCAGCGAGGCGGACGCCGAGGCGGGCCCAGACCCCTTCCTCTGCCCCTTCCTCGGCCCCCCGGGCCCCGCGTATCTGAAGGGGGGCGTCTGCGGCGCGGACCCCTGCGACGCCTACCACCCAGGTAGGTGGCCGCGGGCCCCCTCCCCGGCGGGCCCAGCCCCGATCCCCCGCCCCGGCCCGTCCAGGCGCCGCCCCCGGCTTAACCCTTTCCCCGCTGATCTGGCTGCAGCGGGCGAAACCTAGGGAACTGAGAGCGGGAGGCGGGAGGCGGGCTGCCAGCGGGGGGAGCCTGGGAAGGGGGAGCAGAGGGGAGAGGGCTCCCGCGGAGTACGCGG